GGCGCCGGAGCCTCGGAGCTGGCCGCCTCGGGGTCCCTGTCCAACGTGCTCTCGTCCGTGTACGGGGCGCCCTACGCCGCGGCCGCGGCCGCTGCTGCCGCAGCCCAGAGCTACGGCGCCTTCCTCCCCTACGCCGCGGAGCTGCCCATTTTCCCGCAGCTGGTAAGTGCCCGGGGACCGCGGGAGGGGGTGCAGCCCGGGCGCCGGAAGAGGTGAGGGCGAGGGGGGGAGACCGGCAGGCCCGGGCCGGAGGGTGGAGGCGGCGACGGCTGGGCTCACCCGCGCTCTCCCCGCGCGTGTCCCTTCTTTCTCCATGTGCGCACAGGGCGCTCAGTATGAGCTGAAGGACAGCCCCGGGGTGCAGCATCCGGCCGCGGCCGCTGCCTTCCCGCACCCGCACCCCGCTTTCTACCCCTATGGCCAGTACCAGTTCGGAGACCCGTCCCGTCCCAAGAACGCCACGCGGGAGAGCACCAGCACGCTCAAGGCCTGGCTCAACGAGCACCGCAAGAACCCCTACCCCACCAAGGGCGAGAAGATCATGCTGGCCATCATCACCAAGATGACCCTCACCCAGGTGTCCACCTGGTTCGCCAACGCGCGCCGGCGCCTCAAGAAGGAGAACAAGATGACCTGGGCGCCCCGCAGCCGCACGGATGAGGAGGGCAACGCTTATGGGAGTGAGCGCGAGGAGGAGGACGAGGAAGAGGACGAAGAAGACAGCAAACGCGAGCTGGAGCTGGAGGAGGAGGAGCTCGGGGGGGAGGAGGAAGACACGGGGGGCGAGGGCCTGGCCGACGACGACGAAGACGAGGAGATCGATTTGGAGAACTTAGACGGCGCGGCAGCGGGGCCTGAACTGGCCCTGGCCGGGGCGGCGCACCGGGACGGCGACCTGGGCCTGGGACCCATCTCAGACTCCAAGAACAGCGACTCTGACGACAGCTCCGAGGGCCTGCAGGAGCGTCCACTGCCGGTCCTCAGTCTGGCCCCTGCGCCGCCGCCTGTGGCCGCGGCCCCGCGGTCCCCGCCCTCGCCCCCCGCGGGCCTGGACCCCTGTGCGCCGGCCCCCGCGCCCGCCTCCGCGCTCCAGAAGCCCAAGATCTGGTCCCTGGCCGAGACGGCCACTAGCCCCGACAACCCGCGCCGCTCGCCCCCGGGGGCAGGGGGCTCTCCCCCCGGGGC